GTCTCAGCTGCCTGGTCTGGCCAATCATTGCAGACCAGACCAGGCTCTCAGTCCTGTTCAAGCCTGATAGCAGCACCGTGGGGGCAGAAAGCAGATCTGTTAGCTATTGACTATCCAGAAAAGCTGTGACCTTGCAACCAGATCTGTGAAGTAGACTGGTATATATGGGAGGAAAATCCTTTTATTCCACTTCTTTTTCTTGTAGCAATCCCAGAAGGGAATTTGGAAGTCACTTTAGCCAATCTCTCATGTAATAGAGTTTCTTCTATTGAATTCCTGTCTGGTGAGAATCATCCGGAAATTTCTTGAACGAACCTGGCTGCCTCTTACTGAATGTGCACTATATACTAGGCATTTATATATCTATATATACATATATAGATATAGATATATAGATATATATACATAAATCCTCGTAGTAACCTTGAAATTTTATACTTATTTTATCGGTGAGGGAAGAGAAGCTCGAAGGGATAATAGTCATGCGTTGAGTAGGTGCTTCAATCAGGATTTGAACTCACTGTTCTAAAACTATACCAATGTCCATGCACTTTCTATAGTACTCCGTGGTAGGCTGAAGAGTGCCCAAAGATGTCCATGTCCAAATCCTTAGAGCCTGTGGATATGTCACCTTACATGGTAAGAGGAATTTCGTAGATGGGATCAAGTTATGAATTTTGAGATGGGAGATTATCCTGGAATATCCAGGTGGGCCAGTATATCACAGGGGTCCTTGTAAGATGCTAGAATCAAAGGAGACATAGAGACAGAAGTGGAGTCAGAGAGAGATTAAAGATGCTATGCTGCTGACTTTGAAGATCCAGGAAGGGGCCACTGGCCAAGGAATGGCTTCTAGAAGCTGAAAAGGCAAGGAAATGAATTTTCCTCTAGAACCTCCAGAAGGAATGCTGCCCTGGGCTGGCCCATTTTAGACCTCTGACTCTAGACTTGAAAGGTAACAAATGTGTGCTGTTGTAAGCCACGAAGCTTGTGGTGACTTATTATAGCAACTATAGAAAACTAATGCACACTCTCAGAAATACTCTGCTTGATGGTGAGCTCATGATCTCAGATAGGAATGCTTTTTACTGAGCCAAGCTCTACCTTCTTGAAATGGCAACTCATGGGTCCTAGTTCTTCTCGGCATTATCAGGCACTCAGGGAGGCAGTTGCAAGTGTTGGGGAAGGACGCTGGGTGGAGACTCAGAAACCAGGTTCTAGTCCCAGCACTGCCTTGGGCCAGTCTTTTCTCTCTTTCAGTTTTCTCTCCTGTAACATCAGCACCTGGACAAAAGCTCTTTGGTCCTTCCACATATAAATTTATAAGATTTTAATATCTCGTCATCTAACAATTTGAAAATACTTGAAGATATCACCATCACCCTTTTCTCAGTCTTTTCTAAACTCAACATCCCTAGTTTCTCAGGTGACATTACTTCTAGACCCTTCACCCTCCTAGCCGTCATTCTCTTGAAAGGCTCCAATTTGTCCACCTCCCTCTGAAATGTGGTGTTCAGACTTGTGCAGGGCACCCAGCCACCCCTCCATGTCTGCCAGTGTGTCTGGTTTCTCCCATCTCCCACTGCCCTCTCATGCTAGAGCCCACCTAACAAGTCCTTTGGACTTGCTTAATCTGTTCCTTTTTATCTTTTTCTATCCAACTTTACCTCTTGAAAGACAGCATCCATAATCAACAAATTCATATGTCTTAGTTTAGTTCATTTTTTTAAATAGGAAAGACCAAGGCCTATGTCGGCCATCGTTGCTTGCTTAACAACCTTTAAATGATCGTTCATTCTCACAGGTATTGATAGACAGTGGTACGTAAATTTCTTAGGATCATAGTTTCCTCTGAGAATCTGAGAAGAGCTACCGATCCTCTACTAGAAAGAAGTGCACATACTTCCAAAATTTTGTGTGTGATGTCAGGGCATTCTGGTCCTGCTGAGGTAGTCCACTGACCCCTCTGATGTGGCAAGTTAGTTCTAGACCCGCAAGCTTGTTGGGGAAGGGGGAAGCTTTTACAAAAGGTGATCTAATGTCTTCCTCCAGGTCCACTGATGCTTAGTGGAGGCCTAGAAATGAGACTGCTGGGCCCAGGTTGAGCAAACGCCCATTAAGGATGGAGGCAGGAAAGTCTTTAGGCCACAAGGCAGAGAAGTTCTCAGGTTAAACAAAGAATAGCTTTCAGTGGCCCCTTTTGCAATGAGAGCTCTGCTTCTCAGGGCCTTTCTCCACAGGATAAGTCCCATCCTTTAGACAGCAGGCCCCTTAGATTGAAGCCATCTGCTTGCCTCAGGCTTCTCCCAGTTGCATGATGCTACTGGATGGAGGCGACACTCCTGGGTCCCCCTTCCCCACCCGTGCTCTCCAAAAACACTGCCCAGCTGTGCAAACCGCCTGGTCTGATTAGCACTTTTGTTTAACTGGCACTTGCCCAGGCCATTCTGGGTGAGGTTTGAGGCACATGGGCTTTGGCCACTGTCCCTCCCTTGCAACCTTCTACCCTCTCTGAGAATGAAAGGTTTTGAATCTTAAAAATAATAACACTCCTTCAGTCCAAGTGAGCAGATCTGCCGAGGGATAAATAAAGAAACATACTGCTGATCAAGAAGAATTCCTTTGGGGGAAGGACAAAAAAAAAGCACAACAAAAATCTGGGGCATCCAGGCATCTTAACCTCAGGGATTCACAGAAGAGGACTCACTTCCCAAGTCGAGGAAGCAGGGTTTGCTCTCTGCATTGTGTGTAACCCTGGGTGTGGCCGTCAGCGGGACTGGGTGACTGGGCACCTCTCTCCTGCCCATTTAAACTGCTGCACAGGATGGCTGGGAAAGAGGGTGGTCGGGGCACGGACTTCTACAGGAGACATGGAGAGTATCCTTGCGAAAAAAGAGGGGATTTTCTATCTCAAATAGCAGTTTGTTTATATACTTATTTATTTAGTTAAGGATGTTTGGAAAGAACACAGCAAAACCTAGTTCTTGACCAAAGTGTGCAGTTGACTCAAGTGTGTGGCAGTTTTTTTTTTCCAACCTGGAAAGGATCGTAAACAAAGGTCATTCCCATAGCTTCACAGTGGATTTTTTAAAAATTTACTTTGAAAGGAAATTTTATATCACTGTTGAAAAACCCAGTATCACTTGCCATAAAGAGAAGGTAACCATAAAATAAATACAATGCAAACAAAATGGTATTAAATGTTAGCTGGAGGCTATTGCCTTTTAAAAAAATTTTTGCTAGGTAAACAAGGGTTAGAGGGTTTTCATCACTAAGCTGAGACTTTCCTCTCTACTAATCAGAATGATTAAGTGATTAATGACATGAATGTTATTCAAGGATGTGACGACCGTCCACCTCACATCATCTGGCATACCACCAGGGGCATGAACCCCACTCACTCTCTGAGCCATGCAGAGCTGGTCCAGTGATCGTGCAACTTCTCTTTCACTGTCTGAATTTATCTGCATCCCTTCTTATGAATTAGTTTTTGCTAAATCATTTACCAATCAACACAAGGGTTAGAAGTTAGCCAGGTTGAAGGGATCGTACCGGGTACTGGGAGGGGGTGGGTGCAAAGTCTCCACCCCCAAACTAAGACTAATAAAACTACTCTTGAGAATTTCTGAGTGCCAGGCTCTGGGCTAAAATGCTTTCTGTATAGTTTCTTATGTGGACTTCTCAACAACCCATCAGAGGAGGTATGATTAGTCCTATATCCTATATATTTAGAGATGTTAGTTTGCCTAAAGTTACACAGCCAGGACGTGCTAGAGTTGGGATAGAAACACAGGGCTGTGCATCTCTGAAATGCCTGTTGCCATAGCTTCCGTGCTAACTAGAATGTTCAGAACCCAGCTACAAAATGAAATCTTCATTTGTACACAATGTACCAGCTCCATTCATAGAGCAATGTCTCAACCCAAGTGTATGTTCAGATATTGAGGCAGGCCAGTGGAGTCTTTGCAATTACCCCATGCAGGTTTTACCCGCTTTGCTTATGGTTAGACCCAGCCTTAACTTCATCATGTAATTTTTTATTGAAACCAAATGGGAATGACTGAACATGGTGCATATGAAAGCCAACCAGAGGATAGTATGGTAGATTTACTAGACACTGACTAAAATACAGGTGAAAAATCTGACTCTTACCTTGTTATTCAATTGCTACATGTGATTATCCCTAATTAGCTATTGTAACATTCAACTATTTGAAATGAATGATAACATGGAATTAATTTCATCGCTACTAAATTCATACACAGGACTTTCACCTCAACCCATTATTTTTGTAAGGCAGAGGGCAAAAAGAGAAATTCACTGAAATTAAGTGGGCTCCAGTATTCTACTAAAAAGAATTAAGAATGAGGAAAATATTGGAATCTTCGTTGCCAACAGGGCCTGGACGCCCTCTCATTATTGACTCTGTGTGTGGACAAACACGTCATCTCTGCCTTGTTCTATCTCCGGGCATTTGGCAGTCGCTCAGAGTAACGTGGGCTGGAGATGGTGGTCGGGTGAGGATAAGGAGGCCAGGAGGACCTGGCCCAAGCCTACGAGAAACAGCTGAAGTGTTGGGGGGTGAAGCTCGGAAAGGCACGGGTGACAAGGCTGTGAGCACATTTCATGCTCATCTCAGGGACTGCGGGCATGGTCAGCCAATTCCCATGGATTCCTCATCCAATATCATATGATAAGTCATCTTACTGACGCTGAGCCTATAGCCTTTATTTGTTGTTTTTTTTTTAAAGATTTGATTTTTATTTGACAGAGAGATAGAGAGCACAAGTAGGCAGAGTGTCAGGCAGAGGGAGAGAGAGAAGCAGGCTCCCCGCCGAGCAGGGAGCCTGATGTGGGACTCGATCTCAGGACCCCGGGATCATGACCTGAGCCGAAGGCAGACCCTTAACCGACTGAGCCACCCAGGCGCCCCGAGCCTATAGCCTTTAAAAAAATTAGAAGTGGGCCGATAATAAAATGCACATAGAATCAAGGAAAAGTGCCTGCTGAAGTTTTATATTTATTATTGGGGTTAGGCCTATTTAGGTAGTTCAAATAAAATACAAGAAAAGACATCATGTCATACCTATTAATTTTTTTTTCACAGTTAAAATGAGGTAATCTGGCTTTACAATGTTTTAGGTTGAATTAAGCAGTATGATCCAGTTTATAAGAAAGAAGGAGAGATATATTTGAATAATGATTTCCTAGGGGGGGAAAAGCCAAGTGAAACGTGTGTGAATAAGATAATTAAGCCACAAAATACATTTCAGAGTACCAAGCAGCATATATGTAAAATTTTAACTCTAACCTTAAAATTGGTACAATTTATTATTATTATTTTTTTACTTAACTTAGCAAACAGCATGCACTGTAATATAAAACAAGCCTAGAGGACAAACATAATATCTAATAGAGTATTTATCAGATTCACGTATCATCTGAATTGACCAAGACGTATTTTCACTATGATAATGTGTATTTTCTAAGTGCTGATCATAGTTGGCATATATCCAGGACAAACAATGCATACACAATCTGTATGTGATACTTATTAATATTGGGGCGTAAATTAGTAAGTATAGTAGCAGCAAGGTACCACTGTGTCTAGAATATGTTCTAAGATTTATCATATTGATACTATAGATTCATGACCGCAGTGTTATTAGTGGCTATAAACTAATAGCAAATGTAAAACTGCAAATATACAAAGCGACTGAAGGCCTGTTTGACTTCAAAGTGCTATGCTTCTCATTGGGCTACAAGCTTGTGAGCAAGCTCCTGCTAGTTGAATGAAGCACTGGCCTCAAGTTCTGGGTTCCAATCAGATTCTGTGTGTGGCTGTGGGGGAGTGGGGGGGGCAGAATTATGCCTTTGGGACAGTACGGAGCAATAACCTCGGTGGTAAGAGTGCATTTGGGCATCATTGAACACGTGTGCCTTTTTGTGTAAGTTTTGCCAGCATTCTGTTATTTATAGTAATTGGCAGATGATAAAGGATGGCCAGGAGACAAGAGGAGAAAGTGGACTTCTGTGGAGATCAGAAGGAATGAGATGGAAAATGTCTCTTGACTATTGATGAGGTTATCTCAATAGACTGTGAGATTGAGTTCCCAGTGAAGAGAAGAAAAATATTGTATCCAAACTATGTAGCTTAGAAAGGAGTCTGAAAAACCCTAAGAATAAGTTTCGTTGGAGAAAAGACTAGAACACTATATCCACTGCAGGATCGAAAGCGTTCTCTTAGAATATTTTTATAGCATTTTAAGACTGCTATTTCAACAACATCGATAGCCATTTGTACTGTATTCTTCCAGGTTCAGGGTCCGTGCAGCGATACGGGGGCCTGTATCAATATTTCTAGTAGGAAGCCGGGGAAGCCAGAAGATAAGGCGGCCATACATCCTGGGGTAGTAAAGGGCTGTCCATGATCACTTGGAGTTAGGGTCAATTTCCAGCGAAATCACTTATCCCCTAATCAATTCACTCCTGTGTATCCCAAGGTAACATTTGTGAGTGACAAAGCGATGATGGCAAATACTAGGAAGCCATCTGAGGCAGAGGGCCAAGGAGGACTGGAAACGTGGCAGAATTTTGAGGGACAACTACGTTCTGTGCCATTCAGAACAAACTTCCTGTCAGGACATTTGATGTTAGCAGTTTCTATTCATTCCCTTGTGGCGTAACATGACTGTTTAGCATGCACTTGGGCAAGCCCACCTCTCAGAAACGCAAGTGGGCGTCGGCTGATTTCATGCAGCTACACGCATCTCGTTCTACGGATTACTAAAGGCACCAGTTCCCTCATCCCACACCACGCTTTTGAGCAATGAACCCAAATGGCATTTCTTCACACATGCCACACAAGGAAGAATGACCGAACTGGGTACCCCCGAGTATGAGGCATTTACTTTAATCATTAGGGGCCTGATGTTTTGGGGAGCTAGTCCACCAAGGTGTGCAGAACAGCACTAAAGTAGCAGACAACATCTTTATTCCAGATTAAGGAACCAAGGCAGATGTAGCACAGGGTCACTTAGCTGCAAAGCCATGAGAGAGAAGTCTCATGGCTGTGCCCCACTTGTTAGCCTGTTCCATTTCCCAGAACCTCCCAGTAAAAAACTGCAGTCAGCCCACAGAGAACATTACAAAAACTGCACCCGGGGCACGAACTCATTTGGTAAGATGGCCTGAATTTGTGTAGCCCTAGTGCTTCCGTGAAAAGAAACCATTTCATTTCAGTTGTAATTTCTTCGGCTTCTCCACCGTTTGCTTAGCACTAAGCTTTCTTGCCAGGTTGTAATCATGTCTCTTTGGGGGACACTTTCTTATGGCAGGATTCAGAAACAAAATCCTGACCCACCACAAAACTGCATTTCATTCCAGAATGCTCCACCATCATCTTCTTGAACAGAAACATCCACTTTGTGATGTGAATGTGAAGTCATGAAAGAAGAACTAGGATTCTTAAGATTGATCATGACCTGGGCTCAGATCGTGTGTTTTCTTTGAGTTTATATAAAAATCCTGGGTTCGGACTGTGGCTTAACTATTCCCAAGAATTCAGGGGTCTGGACTCACTGCTGAGGAAATGACTAAACTTAATTATTAGAGGTCTCATACAGCATATATATAATAGTTTTGGCATGATCCTCTTTGGTCTGCCATTAATTTAAAATTTAATCCACAATCATTTATCATCCCTTCCATCAGTTCCATCTTGACTTCTCTCTCCAACCCTAAGAATATCTTCTGTGCCCATGAAACCACAGTGGTACTTCTAATAGGCTCCAAGTTCAAGCCTTTAAACAGTGCTCTAATCTAACTGAAACCTGTGATTGTCCCCTTTGCCACAAAGCCATGGAAATGTGGCGAATGGTCCAGAGAATTCATGAAAAACTCAGCCTACATTTCAGAAGAACTATGGCCCCAAATCCTATGAAACTAAAGCCCTCTTTGGCTCAGTCAAGTAGCTTTTTATTTGATCTTGAAGTGAATTCTGAGTAAGCACGATAGCCTTATTTGATCTTGTGAGAATAAATGATGCGGTGGGTCAACCATTTTTATTGTTGGCAGTTGCAGAATGAGTCGTAGACCTAAAGTTTATTCTCCCTCTGTCCCATCATGGAGTCTCCTGCTTGGCCTTAGGTCCAAGAGCAGAATGCATATGTCCTTTGTGATATGTTGAACAACTTTTTCTTGGAGCAGAGATTCTGCCAATTCAAGGGTGTTTATCAAGGGCGAACTGCAAATAATCTTCCTCCCATCTCCCAGAACTCCTGTGCAGAATTTCAGAAGGCAAGCCAGGCTGGCAACCCAGAGCAGTAAGGAGTGAGCACCTGCGCTTGCCACATAGAGCAGGGCTCCGTGCCCATGACCTTGGGACCGTTTTCTGTGCTTTTGGGTCATGCTTGATGACTTTTACCAGGCAAACACTGAGATGCACTTAAATGTTACAACCTAAGTGAAGTGCAATTATATCTTTTAAAACTAAAGGAAAAAATCAAGTAAACATTTCACGGAACAGTTAGCAGCCCTTGGGTGTCACTGGCGTCCTGTGTAGATACCTGCAACGCACCTGGCCTCATAGCACTGAGCACCTGGACAAAGCTGAGGCTCAAATAAAACAGAGCAGAGTAATTCTCCTCTTGCCTCCTGATCTCTTTGCCAAGTAACAGAGGGTTAAAAGAGGGGAACCGATCTAGTCCCTAGCAATGGACCAAGAGTTAAAAATAAGACCAAAATGAAACGATAATGACACAAATAAAACCCTGAGGGTAGGCCGGGGATTTCAGAGCTTGTCACTGGGGTTTAATAGCAGAATTGAGGAACAACTGAGAAAGCGAGGGCACTTCCTTTCTTACTCCTTTCCAGAGAAGGCCCTAAAAAATGGATAGCACAATCTCAGAAACCTCTCGGAGTGGGGGTTCAAATGCAAGAACAGGAAAAGTTAAACCAGATTTTCCCAGAGGCATTTGTGTTGTGACCCCCCTCCAGCCGCGGGAGCTAAAGGTCAGGGATGAACCGACTTTACAGAGAGGCTGGAAGAGCGCGAGCTGGGCATGCGCGTGCGCTTTCGGCAGCTCACCCCAGGCGCCCACGGCCGCACAGCGTGAGCACCGGCAGGGGAGGAATGGCGAGCCTCCGGGAGGTGGCCCAACGATCCTTACACACACACACATCCGTCCAGGAGTCCATGTTTATCTGCCTTAAGAATCCAGAGGCTGACATTTCCTTAGGGATCCTCAGACAGTTCTGAGGGGCATCAGCACGTACACACTCCTATGCCCCGTTTTCTTTCCAGATCCTTCCTTTCTGACCTTCTACTAGAGATTCTCCCTCAAGAACTGAGAGTTCTTCATGACCCGTTGCATCCTCTGACCCCGTGCGTGGTCTGCCAGGGGCTTCTCAGCTCTGCACCACACCCACACAATGCACACTGTCCCGACAGGCCTGGGGGAGCTGGGAACATCCCCAGCCCAGGCAGAGGTCACTCACAGTCCTGAAACGCACGGGCCCGTTGAAGATCAGGGCGGCGCTGGGCCTGGGTGAGAAAAGTTCAGGAAGCGCCTTTGTGAGTGCTCTTGAGGTAAGAAGCACTGAACTTAATCTATAAATAAATAAATGGATAAATAAATAAATAAATAGAAACACAGGAGGGCTCTTCCTAGATAAGTACCTCTTATCAATTAAAAAAACAAAACAAAACCCAAAATCCCCTCTTGAGTTTCACAGCCCTCCTGCAGGGGTGATTAGCAGGCCCAAAACAACCTGCAGAAAGTAGAACAATCGAGATGCAAACTGGAAACGTTCCAGCACTGGGTCTCTCTCACTTGATGACACACAAGTCATCCTGAATGTCCCTGAGGTAGTCTGGTTTTCACGAAGTTACAGAACAGCTCCAAACCCACTTGGAGCTTCCTCCTTAAATCCATTGCACTTGCCCACGCATCCCGCGGCTGCCCCCCAACCCGGTGCCACGATAAGGTGCCTTCCGGTAGCGTTATACCTTACACGACACAGCACAGACCCGGGTCCTCGGCAGGCAGCAATGAAATGCAATTCCAAGATCTGGCTTGAAGATCCCGTTCCAAAGAGGACTTTGCCAAAATGATGCAGGAGTTTACCTGGCAGCCATTTTGGGAAAAGGTTATAGGATTAAAACCAAAGAAATGTGGCATGCAGCAAACATGCATATCTATTTCCTGTTGGGCCCCACACTGAAAAGATCCCCCACCATTGTTCCTTTCACTTTTAAGAAGGGGCCAATAGAAATGGAAAGGAATCAATGTTTTACAACTGGGAAACACATTTCTGATACCAAAGGCAATATGCACAGTTTATCCAAAGAACGCAGGTGCCCAGTTCCCAAGCAGCAGCTATGCAAGAACAGCTTGTGGCTGGAATGGCCTGGTGACCAGAAGTCTTACTCTCTCGGGGAAGAAGTGGTAATATTCGAGATGCCAGAAGAAGTGGTGCCTGGCCCCTTTCTCCCTCAAAGCCCCAGGTTGATGTTAGAGCCACCCACGGGGCCTTCCCCACCTGCCACGAGCCATTCTTTTGCCTAAGAATGCCTTTCTGGTTCAGTCTTCTCACTGGCTCGCATACAACATCCTGGGAGACAGCAGGAAACCGGGCCAATTTGGAGACACTCGAAGGAAGCTGCAGACCCCATTTCCACATTACATTCCACATCATGAGCCATTGGGGAGACCCTGACTTTGATCACACGAAACATGCTTCTTCCCTTGGACTTCAGTTTTTTTAAAAGTCTTATTTGGGAAAAATGCAATTAAAAGCTCTGTAATTTTATCCAAATGGCCCTATGAAGAGGGGAAACTGCCCTCCTCCTCCTTCCCCATCACTGCCCAGGGGCCGTCCCAACAGGAAACCCTTCAGAACTCTGGCCTGGATCAACAAAGCCAACATTGAAATAAAAACCAAATCAGCATTTAGCCAAAGCTCTGTCCTCCTGGAGGAGGTCATTCAATTCAATGACAGTCGTGGCGAAGTCCACCAGGTCCACGAAGTCGGATGTGATGATGTTGACACCCATGGCTCCGGGCTTCTGAGTCTTCACCCAGTCCAGGATGGCAGGAAGATTCCTACACAGAAGACAGGACAGAGAGTAGAGTTGAAAAGGACTCTTCCAGAAATGGAAACAAGACATTTCCATTCGTGTAACAAAAGTACATCAATAAAAGCACAAGTCCCCCACAGTTCGTCCGTTGAAGCTGTAGATCTCTTTCAGGGATGAAGTGATGTCTATTCCAACAAAGAACTGCACTTTCAGGGTTTCTGCTCTGGAAGAGGAGATTATCTGCCTCAAGCACCAAAGAGATAACCATGTCAGTAGGACCTTGAAAGACTAAGATCAAGAGCTTAATTATTGGTAGGTTCTCTAATTTTTTTTATCACGAAAATTTTCAAACATATTGCAACGCTGAAAGAAATATACGGGCAGTGCATGCACCACCTAGCTTCTAGCACTAACATTTTTTTTTTTAATTAATTATTTATTTATTTATTTGACAGAGAGAGAGATAGCGAGAGCAGGAACACAAGCAGGGGGAGTGGGAG